ACAAATCTGCCCTCAGTTTTGGGTGGCCGCTGTTTGCTTTCAGAAAGGGACTCCAGTCTGGAGAAGCACGTCTCCCAGTTTCCTTGTGGTTCACGCACAGCACAGCTTTCCACTTGCCCTTGGCGTTGCGTGAGAGCACACCCAGGGCTCCTCGCCGCTCTGTGTCTGCTTGCTTGGCCCGGGACCCCTGGTGAGCATGCACCTCCTTCCAGGGTCCGCGAGCGAGAGCGGAAGGCTGAGCTGGAGTCCCGCCAACACATGCAGAGGCGCATGGACGCGGTGCTGACCCTGAAGAACAGCATCACTGCCAACCGGGTAGGCCCCCGCACACGCATCCCCGCGGACCTTCCTGGCTGGCCCCCCACACACCCACAGGGCCCCAGTGCAGGCCTCCAGGAGCCCGGCCTGACCATCCAGGCAGTGGCCGCTCGCACATGCTGCTCCCCTGCCCTGCCCTGTCCTGCTGAGCCCTGCCCCTCAGACAGGCTCCGGTGTCAACAGGAAGCAGAAGGGAGCTGGTGTGGGAAGACAGGGACGGGGGCCTGGGCTCGCGAGGCCCTCCTGGGGGAGGTGACATCGGGCGCTGTGGCCTCAGTGTTCTCTATTCCCAAGGAAACGCTCCGGAAATTTCAAGCATGGGGCCAGGCCAGGGCGGAGCTGGCTGAACAGAGGGCCCAGGCGGAGAAGGAGGCAGTTCTGGCCCAGGGTGGGGATGCTTTCAGGCACCTTTGCCATCAACGCCGGCAGCAGGAGCTGGAGGCCCAAAACCGGTGAGGGGCGGCTACCAGGGCAGTGGGGATGTGCACGTCACAACCAGAGAGGCTGCTTCTCTCCCTGGGACCCCCTGTTCCTGCCAGGCCCCTCCCTCTTCACCCTGCTGTCCAGTCCCTGGCTGGTGGGGACCCCTCCTGAGCCTCAGCCCCTTCTGGCCCTGCCCCTGGGTCTGGCCCCTCAGGACCTGCCCCCCCAGGATCTGCCCCCCACCGGCCTCCCTCCTCCCTCCCAGGGGCTGCGGGCGGCCTGGGCTTGTCCTAACACACGGCCTCACCTCTGGCCTCCCCCACTGGTGCTCAGTGCCACCTCCCCAAGGCACGCTGCACCCCCGCCGTCACCCGAGACGCCCCTCAGCCTGCACGTCCCCACACACAGCTTCCCACGCTGCGCTGCCCTGACAGATGGGGTCTCCCCAAGATGCAGGGCTTGGGTTTCCGCCACTACTGCCTCATCCCAGCCTTGCATACAAGGTTCTGTCATTTTCTTGTTGTCCTGGAGGGCCTGTCCCTGCTCCCACTCCCAGCGCCTGCCCCGCTCGTGGTCACTGTTACGTCTGCCCAGCTGTGGCCTCCTGGCCCTGTTACTGGGGACAGCATCTCTCCTCTGGGAGTCAAGGTGCCCTGAGTGTCACCCCCAGAGTTGTGCCATCACCCCACCCCACAGGGTCCACGGCAGCTCTGCCCACCTGAGTCCCCCTGTCTCACCCAGGGCTGGCACAGAGGCGGTGCCAACAGGGAGCTGCTGGAATGAATGAATGAGAGAATGAGTGAGTGAATGAGTGGGTAGGTGAGTGGGTGAGTGAATGGCCTTGGCTGAGTGCCCCCAGAGTCCAGCCTGGGAGCTGGGAGAAGGAGACAGGACAGCTCACGGTGTACGGGTGGACCATTGGGGCTGGGCAGGCCAGAGGGTCTGGTCCTGGGTCTCTGCAACCCCGAAACCTGGCTGCCTCCCTCACCTGCCCCCACGGGGTCCAGGGCTCACCCGAGCCCTGCCGTTGGCCTCATGTTCCTGGGGACGGCTGGCAGTGGCCCGGCACAGAGGCCCAGGGCAGCTCGTTCTCAGCCCGTGGCGGTGTCCCGCAGCGCCTTCGAGGAGCAGCAGCAGCTCAGAAAGCACGAGATTGTGAGTCGGATTTTGAAAGAGGAGGCTGAGGAGGAGAGCAGGAAGAAGCGGCAGCCCGCGCCCCCCAGAGCCGTGGGCCGGCCAAGCCTGAGGGACAAGACCTGGGGCTACGTGGCCGACCTTTGTGAGGGGAGCAGCGCCGTGGAGCCTCCCTGTTACCTGCAGGTGAGCCGCTGCCTCCGCTCAAGCTCCCGGCTCCCAGGAGTGGACCAGCTGAGAGCAGAGCAACAAGCGGCCACCCTGCTCCCAGGATGCCCCTTTCCCCCGTTCTCTGGTTTTCCTCGAGGCCCAGTGCCAGTGGGCAGACAACGTCCCCAGCATGGAGCCTCCCTCACCTCACAGCATCGTCACCCTCCCTCCCCGCCCTCGTCCCGGTCTGCATCCCTGAGGGGGGCCCCGTCTGGCCTGAGAGCAACTGAGGGTCCTCAAAGGAGATTCGAGCGCAGCCATAAGTTAGAGTGTTTGGTGGATCTTTTGTGGGCACTGGAGAAAAATCTTTAATGACGTATAAAGATCTTTGTATTTTAAGTAGAAGTTACAGCACCGTGTGTGCCCAGGTCTCTGAGTGACGGGCAGGAAGCCGGGCCCTGGGGCCCAAGAGTTTGTGTTTCCTTCTTCCCGATCTGTGCTTGCCTAGCTCCTGGGCTAAGCGGCTGCATCCTGTCCCTGACTCCAGGACGACAGTCTTGCCGCCCCCAGACCCTCTTCGCTGGTGCAGGCCATCTCCAGCGAGTCCGTCCAAGGGGACCAGGGGAGCAGCGGCTGGGAGGCAGAAACGCTGGCTATGCCTGAAATCCCCGGGCTCTGGACCGAAGGCTACGAGCCCTACCAGGTAGCGTGGCCACACTGCCAACTCCTGGAGCCGTCCTCACAGCGGTCTCCGCCTCCTCCGAGGCCTCCGTGTCCTGGTGGTCCGGTGGGGGCTCGCCCACAGGGGCTGCTCTGTGTGTCCCCCAGCCACGCCCACACTCACTGCTGCCTAGAGCCTCCCCTCTGCACACGGCACAGAGCTGGGGGTCAGGGGAGCCAGGCCTGACTCTCCTGCTTGCTGCTGCGGAAGCGGTGTCCAGGGCGCTGGTCCTGACTCTGAAAGGCATGGCTCCACGAGCTAGGAAGTCAGTGAGCACCCACTGCGCCCGCAGGACACCGGCTCCAGCTCTGTCCCTGCGCCAGCCGCCCCGGCCCAGCCACCACATGGGGGCCTCACCTGCCTGTGGTCTGTGGGCAGTTTGGTTCCATTGCTCTGAGGGCAAGGCCACTTTGGTTCTGCTGGTTCTGGGGAGGCATGGCTGAGCAGGGCCTGGAACAAGAGCAGGGCAGGCCAGACACTCGGCGGGCAGGGGTGGGCGCCGGCCCACAGGTCAGCAGGGAGAGCCGCGGCAGCGGGGGCGCGAGGAGCCAAGGCCCCAGGTGGGCAGGAGGCTTTGTGGAGCCACCACAGGGGGCGTTTTGCTTCCTGCAGAACTCCTCAGGGACTGTCTGCAGAGCACGCCCCTCCCGTTTCGTCCTGAAAGTGTGCCAGTGGGGTCTCGGGGGGCTCACGGCTCTGGGCTGTTCACCTCTGTCGTGTCCCCATGCCACCCCAGGTGCCCAAGGAGGATGCAGACCGGAAGCCCGTGGGCGGGATGAAGATGGACAAGGACATCCGGGAGCGCACGGTGCAGCGGCTGCGCAGCGGGGTGACCCACAGGCAGGTGGCCTCTGGGCGCGAGTTCAAAGGTCACCCCTTCAACAGCAAGCCCAAGCTCATTCACTTCAAGGTGGGCCGGGGGGGCGGCCCCGGCGGGGAGCGGGGGCCCCAGCACGGCGTCCGCGCCTGGGCGGAGGGCGACGGGGCTGGGTCTCCTCGGGCTGGCGGGGCGGCAGACACCAGCCCCAGGAGGGCGCCTGTCCTGGCCGCAGGGCGTCGGGGCCTCCCGCGCAGGGGACGAGAGCCAGGGACAGGGTTCAGGCACTCTGGCCAGGCCCTGCACGAGGGGCCTGGAGGCCATGCCTTTCCTGGTCACTCTGGGGGAGGGAATTCTGGCGCCACCCAACCTCTGCTGGCGGAGCCTCCCCTCCCCCTCCCACCCTCTGGTTCTGCATATAGGACGGTGCCCCGGGGGGACCCTTGGTCCCCTTGGTACAAGATGTCCCCATCACCCGGGCGTGGCTGTCAGGTGCCGCGAAGCAGCCCAGAAAGCTCTGAGTGACGGCTCTTCATCCGCTTTGCCTAGGACTTCGATGTCGGCAAAGTCTACAAGAAGAAGGTCACGCTGATAAACGCCACCTACACGGTCACCCACTGCAAGCTGCTGGGCGTGGAGGAGCCCCTCCGGGACTTCATCCACATCGAGTGAGCAGCCCCCCCCCCCCAAGCTGAAGCTGCGTGAGCGGCCTCCTCGCGGCTTCCTGACCTTGTGCTCTGAGGCACCTGCGGGAGGTTTCCCTGGAAGTGCCTGTCTCTGTGTCAACTTTCACTCTGCTCCAGGGCCTCACGTGTCCTGGGGAGACCCCACTGAGCCTGCGCTGGATCCCCTTTCACGTCTGTGGTTTTCTGTCTGGTCCCTGCAATCCTTTCCTCTTTTCTTTTTTCCCTCGTTTTTCTCACGATGGCTTTCCTGCCTCTGCAGCGTCTCTTCTGCTCCTTTGCGTGTTGCCTTCCTTGTTAGGGCAGTTTTGCTCTTCCTCTTCCTGGTGTCTGCTGTCAGGTGAGGGGTCCGGGGGCCCTGGGTCTCCAGTGCTTCGTGGCTTCTGCTGTCAGCCTCCGAGGGCCTCTGCCCTCTGCCGTCCCCGGGGCGGCTCCCCGGGATCCAGGGCACCGACCGGGGTTCTGGCTGCTCTTTTCGAGCAGGACCCGCTGTTGGCTCCATGCGGGTTGGGCCCACGAAGGGTCTCCATCCCGGGGTCCTAAGCGCTCCGCGCGGGCGGTGCACTTACCCCGAGTCTGTCCCCCGCCTTCCGGGCTCACTGACAGTACAGTCTTCCTGCCGATCTGGAGGAGCCGACGGAGGCCCAGGTCCAGGAGTCACCATCACCTCGGCCACCGTGAAGCCGCCTCCCCAAGCCTGGCACGAAGAGCTTTTACCGACAGGGTTTTCTCTCGGCGCCTTGGGGGTATCGCTCCCCCTGCGTCTCCTGGTTTCTCCCTCTGTTGTCGGGAGCCGGAGGTCCGTCCAGCCGCTGGTCTTCGTGGGTCGTCGCGCTTTCCTCTGGGTCCGTGGGGCCTGAGTCTCCCCCACAGTGTGTCTGGGGGGATTTACTTTCCTCAGACCTGCCTAGGACGCACCGCACTTCCCGACCGGCCCGAGGACTCGGATCTTGGAACAGCTGTGAGGTTTCGCGGCCCCGCCCCTCAGACGTCGCCCTCCTGCTCACACACCACCTCCGTCGCTCCCACGGGACCCTCTCCTGCTCGTTCCCGTGCCTCCTGACGCTGACTCGTGTCCCACCCTCTGAGCAGCCTTCTCTGCGTCTCCTGGGGTCCGTCCCTCCACTCACCGCTCCTCACTTCAGTGGGACCTAACGAGCTGTTGAGATTGTGTCTTCGTTCCTCATTTCAGCTGCCGTATTTCTCATTTCTGGAGGTTCTAGGTTCTTTTCAGATCAGCTGGTCTTCCGTGCTCCTTCCTCTGTCCTGATCACTTCGCCCATGACTTTGCATCTCCAGTCAGTCGTTCCGCGCCTGGAGCCCCTGCAGTTGGCCCTCCCCCTGCCGTGTTCCGTGCTGGCTCGTTTGCGGACTTTCAGTCTGGGTTCTGGTCTTCCCAGGGCGAGACCCCTCCTCAGGAGTCTGTGCAGTCTGGCATCGAAATCCTTGCTCCTGGTCAGAGAGGCCTGGTGCCACAGGGACGCCAGCCAGGGACAGATTTCACCGTGAGGCCTTGGCCTGTGTACTTCTAGGCCAAATGCACTACGCAGACCCCCCTTGTGAGGGTGCACCTTGTGTGAGAAAGCTGGTGGGGAGCCCCTTCCCCTCGCCCACGGTCCAGACAGGACGAGCCTGCTCTCCCCACAGTCCCTGTGAAGCTGGGGCTCCTCTCTGTCTTTCACTGAAAGTGGGGCTCCAGCTGAATGCTGGGCCCCCATGCCCTCACCTTAGCCCTGAAGCCCTAGACCCTTGGTTCCAGGCCTGGCACGTGTCCGGGGGAGCCACAGTGTCACTCACACACCTAACACGCGGATGTTACCAAGCGTCCCCCAGAACTGAGTCCTGGGGAGGCCACGCCCAGGACAGGAAGAGGGAGGGGTCCGGAGGCCCCACTCGGGCTTCCAGCTGGGCTGCGGTTCACGGGGTGCAGGGCGCTCACCTCCCTGCGTCCTTGTCCCTGCAGCTTTGACCCCCCTGGGCCCATGTCAGCCGGCATGTCCTGCAAAGTGCTGGTCACCTTCAAGCCCATGGTAAGTCTCAATGTGCGTCAAGAGGGTGCTGGGTGGGACTGGGTCCCTGCTGCTCCCCTGGCACTGCAGGACACCGCGGTGGAGGGGACGCACAGGAATCTCAGGAGGGGGCATGCACAGCCCGTTTCGCCACTTTATTTCCAAAACGCACAAACGTTCCTCACCGGGCAACATCCCAGGGCGGTTCCTGCTTCACCACCAGCAGGTGTGAGCTCATGCTCCTGGTTCAGGCGGGGCGTGGGAGCCTGAGTACGGCCCTAGAGCCCCAGAGCTTGGCCAGTTACGCAGACTTGAGGTTACAAGCCCTTATGCTGCTTGGCTTGGTTCATTTTTTAGATAAACAGAGATCTGGAAGGCAGTGTCTCGTTTCTGGCTCAGACGGGCAGATTTTCTGTTCCACTGAAGTGTTCAACCAAGAAATGCTCCGTGAGTTGGTGCCTGAGCCAGGCTTCCGGGCCGCCCTGGTTGGGGATGGGGTGCGGGGAACGAGGGTGACAGGGTCGGGGTTGGGTCAGGTGTTCTGGGGACCAGGGCACTCGCAGCAACGCTGGAAAGACCTGGACAAATCCTGCGCCGACCGAGCCCGGCTTGCTGGGCCCTCGGGTCCGAGGGGCACCCAGGACCGTCTCCAAAGACGCTGGTCCCCTTGACTCTTGAACTATGGTCTCCACGCCACGCCTTCCACCCGTAACACATGCCCGAAGTTTGTGCCTTTCCACCTGCTTCCCCCAGTTTGCCCAACCACCCACCAGCATTCACGTATCTTTTGGTATCTGAGTTCTGGGTTGTTTTTTTTTTAGATTTCACATGTAAGTGCGATCATACAGTTTCTCTCTTCTGTCTGACTTATTTCACGAAGCTCAACGCCCTCCACATTGTCTGTGAGGGCCCTCCACGTTGTTGCAAATGGCAAGGCTTCCTTCTTAGTCCATTTTGTACACACGTTTTCTTTGTCCACTCACCCAGCAACAAACACGCAGTTGCTCCCACGTCCTGGCGGGCGTAAGCAGTGCTGCAGTGAACGTGGGCACAGGAAGCCCTCTGACTGCCGATTCCTTCTCCTTCGGGTGAACACCCAGGAGTGCGCCTGCTGGGTCACCGGGCAGCTCTGCTGGAGGAGTCTTCTGAGGAGCCTCCGTGCTGCTGTGCAGTGGCTGCCCCGGTTCACACTCCCCGAGCAGTGCCCAAGGGCTCCCTTTCCCGGCATCCCGGCCCACGCTTGTTCTTGTCTTCTCAGCAGTTAGCCACCCTGACAGGTGGGAGGTGACACCTCACAGTGGTTTTGATTTGCATTTTCCTGGTTATTAGTGACGCCGAGCACTTTTTCACATACCCGTTGGCTGTCGGTGTGACTTCTTTGGAAACATGTCCAATTCCTCTGCCCTTTCTAAAATCAGATTGTTTGCTTTTTTGATATTGAGTTGCATGAGTTCTTTGTATATTTTGGATGTTAACCTCTTATCAGATACATGATTCGCAGATATTTTCACCCATGCCGTGGGCTGCCTTTTCCTTTTGTTGGCGATTTCTTTTGCTATGCAGACTGCTGGAAAGGCAGAAAGAACAGCACATATGCAAGTTGCCCCTGGCAACAACCGTCCTACTTCCGTCTATTATTTCGACGACTCTGAGTACCTTACGTAAGTGGGGTCACACTGTCTGTCCTTTGTTACCAGCTTATTTCACTGGCACAGTGTCCTCGAGGTCCAGCCGCGTCCTGGCCGACGTCAGAGTCCCCAGTGGACAGGGAGGGCCCTGCCTCTGTCGCTTGGCCCTTTGGCTTCATTGCCTTATGGCTTCCTGTTCATTTCCTGCACCGCTACCATCTTTTACATTGGGTCGATGTTTTGCAGTAATAAATGCTTACATTGCTGTCTCTTCCCTTTGTGACCATCCATCACCTACTTTTGTGGGGCCCATGGGGACCACACTTAGCATCCGAAGGTTACAGCAGCCTGATTCCGAGTTCTGTGGCTTCATTTCAGTCTTTAGTGAACACTCTTCTGTACAGTTTTGCCCCAGTTCTGTTCAGTTGCTGACGTGACAGGATCCATTTGCCCAATAACATAAACTAAAGACATGTAATACGTTAGTCTCTTAAGTCATACAGAAAACACAGTGCGGAGCTACAAGCCGAAGCTGCAACAACACAGGCTTTGTGCTGCCATGTGTTCACCTTTCCCAAGACCTTGGATCTCCGAGCACCAGTCCGGTGTCTCCTGCGTCCCTGCGGCACGTCCAGCGCAGAGACTCCTGCGGCTTTTGTCTGTCTGGGAATGTTTTGGTTTCTTCCTTGCTTCCAAAGGACACTTTTGCAGGATTCTCGGCTGACATCTCTCCTGCTTGAGCACTTTGAATGTATCGGCCCCACTGCCATCTCACCTCCAAAGTGTCTGATGAGAAATCCGATCGTGTCTCTTGTCTGTGACAGGTCCTTTCCCTCCCGCTGCCTTCCAGAACTCTCTCTCCTTCTCTGGTTTTTACAGTGACTCCAGGGGTCTCAGCAGGCCCTGGGTCGTCCCACTTGAAGTCTGCCCAGCAAACTTCCTGGACATGTGCATTCACGTCTCTCATCCACTGTGGGCAGTCTCCAGGCATTACTCTTTCAAATGTTCTCGCTGCCCTTTCTCTGCCCCTCCTCCTCCTAGCGCCCCACATGCCCGTGCGGTCACCCTGACGGTGGCCCGCAGCCCCTGAGGCTCTCCCACCCTCTCCAGTCCTTTCATCAGTCCTTTCATCCCGCTCCTCAGCCTCAGCGATGCCCACCCCTCTTTCAGGTTCACGGCTCTGTCTTCCACCTGCTCACGTCTGTCTGTGGGGCTGGTTACTGAGTTTCCCAGTTAGTAAGTTCAGTTGTGCTTCTCAACTCCAAAACTTTGTTTCTTCTTAGGTTTTTTGTCTCTATTGATGTTCTTTCCATTGTGTTCACACATTTTCTTCCGTTTCTCCATGTCTTCCTTTAGTTCTTGGAGCATCTTTAAGATGGCTGTTTTCTAAGTCTTCGTCAAGTAGACCTGCCATCAGACCCATTTGAGGGGCAGTTTCTGCTGATTTATGGTTCCCTTTGAAGGAACCACCTTCTGTTTGTCTGTTGGTGGAACAGCAGACATTTGAGTCTACTAATGTGGTAACTCTGGGAATCAGATTTCCCTCTGTCCTGAGTTTGCTGTTGTTGGGGAAAAACA